ACTCTGTTGTAAGAAATTAATTTCAAATTCCAAAGAATTAATTTTTTATCTCAGTGAAAATAAATGTTCTACATTGAAATTCTCCTACTTGGACAATCAATGATTCAAAAATGATGCAAAATATGTCTTCACTTGTAAATGGTAATTCCTATTTCCTGGAAAATATTGAACATTACCTCGTCGTCTGTTACATTATCCAGGTGACTTGATGGACGAAGAAAACGTACTAGACTTCTTAACGAGTTTAGAAGCGATGGACCTGCCCGATCGTATCGAGGAAGTGAACGCGAAGATCTTGGAGAAGATCGTCGAGGATACGGAATTCGTGGCGGTCCTTTTCTGTGAGTTCTCTTTTCCTCGTGCTCCCCGAATAATAATCTTCTCTCAAGCTACCGTGTCTCACTCTCTCTCTCTCTCTCTCTCTCTCTCTTTTTCTGTCTCCCTCAAAGCAAGATTCACTTTCATCAGGAAGAGTGTGAAACATAGAAAAGCCCCAAAAAGTTACAAATTTTTTCACAGACTAACACGAACACTCTTCTCGACGAAAACAGTGAAAAGCACAGAAATAAAGAAAAAAAAGGGAGCGTGAAACTCTAAGTTATTCCATTTCAGCCATGTACATATATATAATTACTGATTATTATCGAATCACACACTCGAGTACGTATATGTACCTACATACATACGTATATGATATCAAACATGATTCGTCTAACATAACATACGTAATTTTCTTATTATTATTTTCTTGTCTCACTAATACCGTTCCTGTGCAAACAAAAACACACTCTGCCAGTGTATCATACGATTAACAGACAGCTTTGATCAAGAGTCCAGAAGCAGCTGAGAGATGCTCGGTTGCGTTCTAACACGTTTAAATCTGAAACAAAACGATTTCTTTGGTTCTATTTTCACCGATATTAACGAGCAGCCAGATTTTTTTCACGCAATTGTAACGTGTCACGGTATCGAGACAGCAATTCACAATCTCACCAACTACATGCGTCCCGTTCTCCAATCCCGCCTTAACGCTCCGTTTAACTACGAGAACGAAGAAAAATTTTCGTCACGATTTTCATAAATTTTTCTGCGAATTTCAATCCAATTAAAATTCCGTTAAAATTCTTCTTCGTTCGAAGAGCGCCGTGAACGTCTTCCTCTACTCCTCCTCTCGCCAGTATACGTCTTTTTCACCATCGTCTGCAAAAATTTGTCATCGTCTGTTGTGGTACAGTCAACGTATCGCAAAGTAGATTGCGTGCAGTTGCGCTCTCTCCTCTCTTTCTCCGGAAGATTTTCAAGAAACGAATGAGAAACGGATACTTCCTTTCCACTTTGCGATTCGATCACTTACAACATACTTGTAAATAATACATATATGTGAAACGTTCTTGTGTGTGTTGGTATGGATAGGTCCGGATACGCAACGGTGTGCTGGCACTGGTTCTAGTAAGTACACATTTCAATGAAATCATTGCTCTGGATGTCGCACAGCTTTCGTTTCCAATGCTTGTACACACTCTGTGATGCACGAACTGTGGTATTTAAAAGAACGAGAATGATCGTTGTACTTTTTTTTTTTCCAATTGACGTATGATCAATGTGTAGAGAAAAGACATAACGATGACTTTGTATCTTTTTTTTAAATGAAATGGTTCGTGATCGATGCTTGACTCTGTTATATGTTTCCATGTACGTATTATACTGCCCTTCCGATACACGTACTAAAAACTATAATTACCACCTACACTTTCGAAGGGTACTGAAAAGGAGAAAAGAAGAAGAATACTAAATTACTTTCAGCAACCTGTTTCTCCTATCTCTGTTCACTGTAACAGAAGGATTGCGATACACTAAAGGGAGAAAGGTGACAAAGAAGCAAAAAGGAGAGGAAAAAGAAACGAGTATGATGAATGTGTGTTTCATTAATTAGAAGCACAGAGAATGATACGTTGGATTTACTAATTTCTCGAGTTCAGTGTGCACTGAAAAACACGTCACTGTTTAGATGTTAGAATATGCATTATTCTGCAACCTCCGCCCCCCCCCTACCCCCCTAGAATAGAAGGAATGTGTATGATAACTGAGAGAGATGTTGTATACTAATCCAAAAAAAAAAGGAAAAAGAAAAGAATTCTAGCGTTAGTTGGTGTAATTTTCTTCGTAGATGAAAAGAAGACGCTTGAAAGTGTTGAAAATTGGTAAAAAAAAAATGGTGAAACATATTCGAGTATTGTTGGTATAATCGAAAATTTCCATCGGCATGAAGAGAGATTGTAAAACGGATACCCGATTTAACCCGATTTGGCCCGAAAACCAGCTGAGATCGATCTTCCGGATGTAATGAAAACCGTGAAAAATATAATCCCGAGGCCTGAATAACACTGCTTTTTATTTCAAATGGGACAGACAAGCCTGACTGCAAAAAGTGTCTCAAGGCCCTTCAAGAGCTGGAGAACATCGACGACGAGGCCGATCAGTTGGGCATCGGCTTCGTGAAGATCGCGGACGAACAGCTCGCTGACGAGTACAATCTAGGTCCTCTTCCGGTTCTTGTCTATTACAGGCATCAGATACCTATCATCTACGAGCGTAAGCATTGCTTATGAAAATGACAATTTCAAATTTTCAAATATTTCTAAAATTTTCTTAAACCTTAAGTACCCATTTGAAATCTTCCGATTTACATAAATATTTTGGCATCCAATTGAAATTCCCCCATCAGGTACCTAATTGAGAGATGTTAATCTGAAATTTAAAATTCTCTAACTTCAACTTAAACATTTGCATTATCAAACAATCGGCAGATATTAATATTAACAACTATTTTACATAATATCGATTGAAAATCCGTGCAGACGAATTGAGCAAAGAGGAAGACGTGCTAGAGTGGTTGGTGGCGAACAAAAGCACAGGAGACGAAGAGGATGTGATCGAAGACGTAACCGCGAAGACTCTCCAAACCCTCATCGGAAATATCGACAACCTGGTCGTTTTATTCTGTACGTAACATTCCACCGATTCTTTTATCCCACCGTTAGATCTACAATCTACCGTTTCACGTATCCTTTAGACGACCACGGTGACGAGGATTCGATGCAGGTGCTAACCGAGCTGGAGAAGATCGACGACGACTGCGACAAACATGGAATCCAATTCGTGAAAATCGACGACGAGAAAGCAGCGAAGGATTTTGGAATCAATTCGGTTCCGGCGATCGTATATTTCGAAAAGCAAATCCCGAATCTTTACGATGGTGGGTAGGTGGGTCGAGTGATTGGGGAGAACGACAGGGAACGAGCGGAGGAGACTTCGATGCGTGGTCGAACGCTACGTGAAACTTTCGATTATTACAGGAGACGTAGAGAACGAGGATGAAATTTTGGAATGGCTGCTGTCGCAGTTGGAGAAGGACGAGATCGAGGATATCACCGACGAAATGTTGGATCGTCTTATCAAGGATGGAAAAACCCTTGCCGTGCTGTTCTGTAAGCCCCCTATTTTCACAAATTTTAATTCTTCCGATTCTACGAAAGAAGGGAATCTTTTTATTCTGAACTGTCATCAGACGACAACAACGACCGGAAATCCCAGAAGACTCTCAATGAATTGGAGAACATCGACGACGAGTGTGATCAAATAGGAGTGACGTTCGTGAAGATCGACAACGCGGAGGAAGCTAAAGAGTACGGTATCGAGAAGATTCCAAGCTTGATCTACTTCGAGAAAGGAATACCCACGTTGTACGAAGGAAACCTGGAAGACGAGGAGAAGGTTCTGAAATGGCTGGAGCATCAGCAGAAGAGCGATCATATCGAGGACATCACCGACGAGATGCTCGACATGGTCATCGAGAAGATGCCTCACGTAGCCGTCCTCTTTTGTCAGTGATTAATTTCTTTTTTATTTCATCCTTTATTTATACACGTTATAAAAATCTACATACCTATACTGAGTATTATTTAACGCGTTAAATATACCGTAGTATTGTTCTTTTTTTTCTTTGATAGACGACAAGGATCAGAAGAAGAGTCAGAAGATCCTCGCTGAATTGGAGAACATCGACGACGACTGTGATCAGCATAACATAGCGTTCGTGAAGATCAGCGATCTGGATGAGGCGAAGGAATATGGCATCGACAATCTTCCCACTCTGGTATTCTTCGAGAAAAAAATACCACACGTGTACGAAGGTATTATTTTAACTTGAAGAAAGGAAGAAAATGTCTCATCTTTATACAGAGTGTACCGATTATGGAAGTTATGCTCCTATATTGTGGTACACTCTGTACGTCTTCGAATCGAAGTAAAACGAAGATAATCCACACAGGCGATCTGATGAACGAGGATCAGCTGCTCGGATGGCTACTGCATCAGAAGAAGCACACAGAGATACCGGAGGTGACGGACGAGATGATGGAGAAGCTGATTGAGTCCTCGCCGTTCTTGGCAGTCCTGTTCTGTAAGCGATCGATTCGTCTTTCTACCTCCTTTTAACATTCTTCCACTGTTACCACGGTTAGGTAGGTGCTGTTGGTCGATCGCGAGCGAAAACGAGACACGAATCGATTATTTTCCGTAGACGACAAGGACGACAAGCAGGATATACGTATTCTGAACGAGCTGGAGAACATCGACGATGAGCTCGAGAAGGAGGGTATAGTGATCGTTCGTATGGATAACGACGCCGAGGCGAAGGAGTACGGTATCGATCATCTTCCTACGTTGGTCTACTTCGAGAACAAAATCCCTGCCATCTACGAGGGAGATCTGTTGAACGAGGACGAGGTTCTCGAATGGCTGATCGAGCAGAAGAATTCTGCCACCATCGAGGAGGTCACAGACGAGATTTTGTCCGATTTGATTGAGGAACACGAATACGTTGTCGCGTTCTTCAGTGAGTTTCTCGTCTTCCTTTAATTAATTAAAATGTACGATCTTATCGGTGATATTTCTCGTTGATGTCATTTATCAGGTGGAGATTGCGACGAAGGTGACGAGTGTGACAAAATCCTTGAAGACCTGGAGAATATCGACGACGAGCTCGACGAAACTGGCATCATCTTCGTCACAACTGAAGACACAGGGTTCGCTAAGAAGCACGGAATCAAGAACTTCCCTACGTTGGCCTTCTTCAGGAACAAGGAGCCTTTGATCTATAAAGGAGACCTGGAAGACGAAGACGAGGTGCTCTCGTGGATCACCGATGAGGATACTCTTGAGATCCCGGGGAAGATCGAAGAAGTGAACGCCAAGATGCTGGAGAACATTCTCGAGGAGAACGATTACATCGTCGTGTTCTTCTGTGAGTAGGATTATTAATAAATTCATCGTTACCTATAGACGTAAAAATTATTCACGTGTGTTAATGATTTTTATCACAGATAAAGAGGGCGACAAGAAGAGCCAGAAGATCCTGCAAGAGCTGGAGAACATCGACGACGAGTGCGAAGAGAAGGACATCGACTTCGTGAAAATTTCTGACGATGGAATCGAGAAGGAGTACGATCTTCCTGGTCTACCAGCGTTGGCATTCTACAGACACAAATTCCGTCAGGTGTATTCCGGTGACATGATGCACGAGGAAGCGATTCTCGACTGGATCCTGGAGCTTCGTACTCAGACACCGGATGTGATCGAGAACGTCGACAGGAAGACGTTGCAGGTGTTGATCAACGACGTCGAACATCTTGCTGTGTTCTTCTGTAAGTCCGACAAATCCCTGTGTTTCGTAAATTTTCGTCGAATTGAATTTTCATCGACTACGAGTACTTCGTTAATTTCATTCGATTAATTTAAGGTGTTGATATTGCGGTAGAAAGGTTTCGTTTTTAGGAAATAAGGTATTTTTTTGGAAACAGACGACGATAAATGCGAGACGTGCCCGGAAATTCTCGAGGAGCTAGAGACCATCGACGACGACACCGACAAACATGGTATTCAATTCGTTAAGTCGAACGACGCGAAATTAGCCGCTGAAATCGGCGTCTTCTCGTTTCCGGCTCTCGTTTATTACGAGACAGGCGTGCCCATCATGTACGACGGTAAGTCTCGATTGCTTAACATCCTTGGCTTGTTCGATCTAAAATCACAGACCCGCGTTCCCTTCATTCAAATTGCCTTTGTTTCGTCGCGCAAGAATTAGCGTTTCTATCGTTTTCTTTTTTTTCTTCTTCTCCAATATCGCTGAAACAAAGACACGAGAAAAAGATTTCTGCTTCTACATTCCTCACGGATATCCCACTTTTACTATACATTGTTCTTCTTTCATTGAAGTCTCGAGGTAAAGTCTCATTAAAGATGTTTCTTTTCTTAATTCGATCACGTTGCAAAGTCAGTTTCAGATTTCATTCACTAAGGTTGATAAAACGGAAATGTGAAAGTTAGTGATCAGTTTCGAGAAGGTTCGTCAGACTGATGAGTATTGTAACATGAATACTGTTTTCATTTCGAACGAATTATCGAGCACTTGAGTACCGTGAAAGTATCGGTAGATTCAAATAACTAGTGAACTTTTATTAGTCCAATTTTAACAAATTTCAAATCTGTTGAAAGATAAAGAGGTGATTTACTATCGTTTGGTACTCAAGTGTTTCAAAAGTCATATTCACGATCTTGCAAGCATCTCTACGAAATCACACTTGACAAAAAAAAAAACAAAAGAACAATAGAGAAATTAGTAAAAAGGAAGAACAACTGGCCACCTATCTCCCAAAGGAACCCCGCCACCAAAAAAAAAAAAAGAAAAATAAAAAACACCTGGTGAACCCCCCTCGAAAATTTTGAACCCCTAGCGCGGAAAAATGAAATCTCGGTACACCGTGCAACTGAGCTGATCTTGATATGCGTGTGTGCCTTTTGTAGGTAATCTTAAGAACGAGGCGAGAGTTCTGGAATGGCTAATCGAACAGAAAAGTAAGGAGATTTCTAGGATGATGATTATTATTACTGGTGTACTGTTCTTTGTGACGTTAATCTCGGTCATGACCATACCACCGGGCCACGAGTACAATACTCGCGCCGTGGTGATCACCCCGATCACTCAACCACAATCGCGATCCCCGTGATCGCGAATATTTTCGGGAATAAAGAGAAAAAAAAAAGCAAAAGAGAAAAACAAGGACGGAGCACACGCCTCTTTTGCAGTTTCTTTCTACACGCACACGTTCGATATTGACGCTTAAAGGACTCGACAGAGAGCGGAGACGCAAAATTTTTAGTTAACGATATAAGGAACGATGAGAAAAGAAACTTCGTTAGATCAAAATTTTTTCGTGATTCGTCCCTTAAGCGTCGAAGAGTTTCATAGTTTGGAAGAGGATCGGCGGTGAATGGACAATGAAACGAAAAGTCGTTGCTCGGTTTTCACATTGAAACGAGAAGAACAAGAACGAAAAAGAAAGATCTCACAAAGCTCGGTGAAGGAAAAAAATTTCAAAAACCAAAAAAAAAAAAAAAAGAGTATAGCTTCTAACGATGCGCGCGCGCAAAATCGCTCTG